AAAAGACTGAAACAGTTGATTCTTGTGATTTTTTTATTTAGGAAAATATAGATATATATTTTGTAAATAATTGAGAAATCAAAAACCCAGTCATTTAACAATTGCAACCAAAAAAAAACAAATAAAATAAACTAATAAGTAAAAAGTGTATATTGTTGAAAAAAAAAAAAAAAAATGATAAAGTTATTGATGTTGAAAGTTATAAAACATCAGGATCAGGCGTTGCAGATCCCACAAAGTATATATATTCTTGATCAGCGCAACGGCCTGAGTCAATTTGGCCCTGTGCGAGAAGATATAAGAGCTAGAGACTTCAAATAAAAATGTCTGTATATATAGCGCAGATGTCGAGTTTATCACCAAAAATCGATAAGTCATCCCGTTATTTTCTTATCGATAAAAAACTTTTCGAAAATCTGTTTTAAAATTATATCTCTCACATCTTTAATGCGAGAGCCTCCAAATTTAAAATGTATACTTATAATTATTTTATACAATTTTATAATCTGAAAGTTTCATGAAAAAATAACATCCCCAAGAAAAGTAATTGAACAATTAAATTTCCATAGTAATCCACCATTGCAGCCAATGCGTGTTTATGCGTGCGTATGTATGTCTGTGTGTGTGCGTGTCTGTGTGCATATGCGAATATTTATTGAAATATCAGTTGCTCGAAGGGTGCAGGGGATCTCGTAGTCGAGCAGTCTCGACTAGGGTTTACTTACTTGTTTTTAATGAATTATATCAATACTTGACTTGATGAAAAACTCAAAACAGGATTGCTTACATAATATAGTTGAATTTGTTAAGTAAAATTTTTTTATTTGTTTTCTCTTGAGTCGAGAAAATATTCTAAAATATTCTGTTTATTTACTTTGCATATTTTAATTGAGCTATTGAGTTGTCTATAAAAGATATTTACTAGCAGCTGAAGAATGTAGTTCACTAAACTTTTAGACTGTGAATTTCAACAGTTCCTTAAGAATTGAGCTACAGAAACCAGAGAGAAAACTTAGTACTTCATTTTTTTTTTTTTAATTAATAATTAAAGTCTTATTGTTTGTATTCCGGAATGACAAACATATATTGTCAGCTAGAAGATAATGAGCAGGCAGTATTCATTGTGAATATGCCAGAGTTGAACAAAGCGAACTTGCTAGAGTTTCAAGGGTTAAAGTCAATTTAAAGCCAAATCATCATCTGATAATCGATTGAGGGTCACGTGCGACGGCAATGGATGCATTTATAAATGCATTCGGCCAACGAATGCAAACGAAAATGAAATTTGAAAATCTGTGCACATTAGCCAATTAACGTAATTTACGGAAACGCAACGTGTTTGCCTTTCAACTTCCAATTAAAAGCTGGGCCTGCCTCACGTAGCCCGAACCGATGCCAAAATGTTGGCCAAGTGTTTGCCGAGTGCAGCTGTCACTGATGCAGCGTGTTGCGTCGACTGCGGCTGCGGCTGCGGCAGCGACGTAGACTTCATTCTCACGTAGCATGCAAATTGTTGCAAATTATCGACGTTTCGTTCTGCTGCTTGCTTTAATGAGCAGGCAAAGGAAGCAGGCGACTGGCGGCGCCTAGATGCTGTCTTGGCTACCTTGAGGCAGGACTGCCACCCCTCGGCCACCCACCGCCAACCCATGGCACCCCTCCTTGTCACCCTTCTCCCCACAGCCCCCACAGCCGCCGCATTCCACACTCCAAGCGTTCACGTTCAGCTTAAAGTTCAATTTCGTCGCCGTCTCCTGCCTCTGTTTGCATTTAATTTTAACTTTTCTCATCTGATTTATGTATTTCAGCCGCGCCAGTCGAACGATTTTACATATTTATTTTGCATCAATTTCTCGCAGTGAGCTCGCTTAGAGGGAGGCTTTCGTAATTTTCTGCTGGCTCTGCGGCTTGTTGGTTGTTGTTGATGCGGTTACCATTGGCATTGGCATTGCCATTGCCGCTG